TCTCCAAGCGAAAAAGATGGGTATATATTAGTAGGAGTGATATTCCATCATGATACGAGAGAGTATATAGATGAGTATATATATCCTTCCTATGGAGAGATACGAATGTGATTCCTTAATGGGGCCTTTACAGCCAACCCATAGAGTAAAGGCTGGTACAAAACACTTACTATCATAAAGCATTACTAGTCTTATAATTTATCTGGTAAATTTTTTCTTGGTTTTATAAACATTCTTTTTGGTACAAGTTTAAATAGACACTTTGCAATTACAAATTATGTCCGAAGCTTTTCTTTTTTCTTATTTTCCCATTTCATCTACCATCGTTCTTTGTATAATAATAATAATAACAACTCACTTCCAAGGTATAGAATTCCTCAAACGGTATTTATAGGCTCTTACTACAATGCCTGCGACGCTGGGTACCACCAAAACTGAAAACTCTTGAGAAACTATACATCCTATTTTAACGAAATTTTTAAGGTACTCCTGTCGCACTAGTGACTCGGTGCATCAGGCCAATTAAATTTGGAGAGAAAAAAAAATGCAAGTTGTATGGAATAGGGAGAGAGAAAAAATTAATTCAAATGTCATTTTTTGAATGAAGGCGGACATACGACAAGTGCACTACTGAGAAAACGTTCCTGTTATAAGGAGTGCAGCATACTTATCTTTTATAGCAACCAAAACCATCTTCACAAATATGGCAATGCATGCATTTGGCATCCTCTTGGTAGTTCTTCCCTGTGTGTTGTTGAGGTTTGCATACTCGGATATCAATTTTGTCCGATATAGGGTTTCCACCAGCAGGCTTAAACCTGGATGGAGCTTCTCATGTGAGGCCGAATGGCATACTTATCCTGACAATTGATTCCTCAAAAATCCTTGGTCATGCATTCTATCCATCTCCATGTCATTCAAATCTAGCAGAAATAAATCCATTGTTGCAACCTTTAGCACACTACCTTTGTGTTTTCCATTGTTCCTGAGAGTACCCAGATCTTGGGGGAAACGGTTTCAAATTCATCCTAATATCTGCCAATGAACCAATGGGCTGACTTGTAAACCAATATTTAGGCCTCCCAAATGAGACAAACAATCAAGAATTCTCTACCAGGTTCCTAGCCAGAGTTTGACAGGGTATAAGATCCTGAACTTGAGGACATCGATGATAATCATGTGGAATAGATATCTGCAGCCTCATCTCTAACATATTTAAGTTAGCAGCCTACTCCTTATCGAGAAATGGCCAAGAAGATCACATCAAGAACATTTCCACCAGTCTGATGAGTGGAAAACCCATTCAAGCATGGGTTGATTACAATGAAGAGTAAAAGTTGATGAATGTTAATATCTCACCTTTTGGCATGCCAATGCCGTAATTTCCTTCAACATCTTTTCCTATAGCACTATCTATGTCGTTGAATGCCAACATGTATGCAGGTTTTTCTGCTTCCAATGGTTTGCTGATAGCTGAGCATAATACATGGCAGGAGCTTTAAAATAGGAGAAGCACGAAAGCCAGATAATTCGGCTCTTCTACTTACTGTGTCAAGTAGTTCAATGAAGTGGTGCACGAAAAAGGCTTTGCAGTAGGCATTACTTTAGCAAGTGCAACATTTTTTATCTTGATAATCATAGGAGCTCTCTATGTCCTGACGCAGATTAATAAATAAGGTCTGGCTTTAGAAGATTGGGGAACTTGAATATGGGCCTCATAGATTTAAATGAGATCCATTCAGCTACGGGAAGGTTTGGGGAGAGAAACCTTACTGGGTATGGAGGATTAGGTAAAGTCTATGTAAAGAACCTTGGGATACACCACCCCAAAAGCTAGCTCAAAGGGTGGGAGTGCCCAAGGCCTTATAAAGGCCACATTATATATCTCAACACGCCCCCTCACACAAGAGCCCTTTGGGCTTGAAGGGTGGACAATGCAACAGGCTCAGCTTACCTGTGCTAAGAAACTCCACAAGAGAAAGTGGGGGACGGCGAGGCTCTGATACCATGTAAAGAACCTTGAGGTCACCACCCCAAAAGCTAGCTCAAAGGGTGGGAGTGCCCAAGGCCTTATAAAGGCCACATTATATATCTCAACAGTCTACAAAGGAGTCATCCCTAGCACAAGACTAGAAGTAGCTGTAAAGCGAGTTGCTCCTAATACAAGTCAAGGAATGAGAGAATATGTTGCAGAAAGAACAAGTATGAGACAACAAAGGCATAGAAATCTGGTGCAGTTACATGGGTGGTGCAGGAAGCAGGATGAACTCCTCCTTGTTTATGACTGTTCCAAATGGGAGCCTGGACAAGCTTTTGTTTAAAATTGATAATCAAAAGAAGAAATTGCTAACTTTGGAACAAAGATAAAAGATCATTACCGGTGTTGCCCCAAGGCTGCTGTATCTCCATGAAGAATGTGAACTGCAGGTTGTTCGCAGAGATAAGCCAAGGAATGCCTTGATAGATGCAAATCTCCAACTAAAGCTTGATGATTTTGGCCTTGCCAGGACTTAGAGCATGGAATCAATCCACAGACAAGTCATGTTGTAAGAACACTTGGGTACATGGCCCCTGAGATCACTAAGACTGGGAAAGCAACATTGAGCACAGATGCATATGGGTATGTGTTACGGACCTTGAGATCACCACCCCAAAAGCTAGCACAAAGGATGGGAGTGCCCAAGGCCTTATAAACCCCACATTAGTGGTATAGGCAACCAATGTGGGACTTGTAACATTGCCACCCCCTTTAAGAGCCGACGTCAACGGCGGCTTTCACTCTATCGACACTGACCCGACGGTAGCCCTTTCCCCTGTTGGGGCGGCTTCATTCACCTATCAGTATTCGGTGCCCAAAGACACCTTAATCCAGCCTATAGGTAGCCCTTTCCGTGGCCTCAACTCTCAATGAAAGCACCAATTGTTACGGACCTTGAGGTCACCATCCCAAAAGCTAGCTCAAAGGGTGGGAGTGCTCAAGGCCTTATAAACCCCACATTAGTTGCCCATACAACCAATGTGGGATTCCAAGTCCCATATCTTGCAAATGGGATCGTAACATTCCACCACGCTCCGCAACCCCGGCGCCCACGCGGGGTGGCTTTGCGCTAGTCGTTTACTAGCCCCGGGCGAACACTGCAATGCTGACGTCACCACCTGTGCCGCTCGATTGCAACCGGGAGACATAGTGAAAGGCTCTGATACCATTTGATAAGAACCTTGAGGTGCACTACCCAAAAGCTAGCTCAAAGGATGGGAGTGCCCAAAACCTTATAAACCTCACATTAGTGGTATAGGCAACCAATGTGGGACTTGTAACATTGTCACCCCCTTTAAGGGCCAACGTCCACGACGGCTTTCACTCTATCGACACTGACCCACGGTAGCCCTTTCCCCCCTTGGGGCGGCTTCACTCACCTATCAGTATTCGGTGCCCAAAGACACCTTAATCCAGCCTATAGGTAGCCCTTTCCGTGGCCTCAACTCTCAATGAAAGCACCAATTGTTACGGACCTTGATGTCACCACCCCAAAAACTAGCCTTTTCCCCCCTTGGGACGACTTCACTCACCTATCAGTATTCGGTGCCCAAAGACACCTTAATCCAGCCTATAAGTAGTTCTTTCCATGGCCTCAACTCTCAATGAAAGCACCAATTGTTACGGACCTTGAGGTCACCACCCCAAAAACTAGCTCAAAAGGTGGGAGTGCCCAAAGCCTTATAAACCCCACATTAGCTGCCCATACAACCAATGTGGGACTCCAAGTCCCATACCTTGCAAATAGGATCGTAACAGTATGGCATACTCATTTCGGAAGTAGCTTGTGGAAGGAGGAAAATAGAGCCCCAGAAGAATCCTGAGGAAATGGTATTAGTAGACTGGGTGAGGGAACTACATCATCAAGGGGTGATCAGAAGGGCCCTTGTCTCCAGTTTAGATGAGAATGAAAGAAGAAGCTTAGCTCGTACATAGTCTTGGATTGCTTCTCTCTTATCCCCATCCTGATTACAGGCCTACTATGAGGACTGTCCAGTTCCTTCTGGGAGACGCCATCCTTCCTCCACTCCCTCTTGACATTCAATGTGAAGGTTCAAGACCAATAATGGAATACCCGTACAACTTTCCAGATGATGCAGACCCTTCAGGTTCTTAATTGTCCTCATCAAAATATTGTAGTCTTACAAGCTTTAACGAGGTGATTTCTGTTTTTGAAGTCACAGGGATAACTTCATAGATATTGCTGTAAATAAGATAGCATATTAAAGAACCACATTGGCTAAAGATATCTCTAATCTTATCAAGGAAAGCAACCCAGAATCATGTCACTTCCATGATTCTATTTGTTAGAGAAATATAAAGCCATTAATGTATCCTCACCCACAGCTTAAAGCTGTTGGGTGAGGCTACATTAATGGCTTTATATTTCTTTAACATACCCCATCATACGAGAGTCCATTGAGCTTGAAGGGTGGATGATGCATCAAGCCCAGCCTATCTGTGCTAAAAAACTCCACAAGACTTAATTAATTATTAATTAAATGGGGGCAGTGAGAATCAAATCAGTGACGCATAGACTCTGATACCATGTAAGTAACTAATTTAACTCAAAAGCTTAAGGTGTTGGATAAAGCTACATTAATGGCTTTATATTTCTCTAACACTATTATCTATGTTTCTTTTGATATTTACAGAGATTCACTCCTCCCCTATATACCATGTTCTATTCATTTTTGAGGTGGGAAACACACACATGGTCAATCTTAAGTATTTCACAACCTTGTTTAGGGCCAGAATTCTGAGTAAACAGCATACATGACGTGATTATTCATTCAATTGAATATATTCTGCTCCAGTATTATTTGCTTCTGTTATCTGTATTCGTACAGACCTTAATATTATTTTTCAAACTCTTAACAACCTGATATTTGTATCCGTAACTTGCAAGAATAAAAAATAGTGTTCAAAGCCACAATGTATTTTAATTCTGCACAGGAACAGATTCAAGGCTAACTTGAGGAAAAAAGATTTTCAGTTAACTGCAGCGAAGAGTCCTCATCATGAACATCTATTCATCCTTCTATGATAGACAACTAAATAAGCAATAAAATAGGGCCGACCCAGTTCAAATACCCACTTCGTGAGTGTCTGGGGAAGGGAATACTCTAGGCAGTCTTTCCCCTGCTTTTTGCAGAGAGGCTGATTCGAACCCGCGACCTGACACACCACGGCAAGCAAGCTTACCGCTGAGCCAAGCCGGCCCTTCTAAATAAGCAATAAAATAGGAAGAAATAAAAAATCATAAATCTCACAACTCTTTAAATCACATGCCTATTTCATTTGAAGTAAAATGAAACTCAGTAGTTCCAGCAGTGGCTCACATATTCTCACATGGCTTGATGTAGAATTAGCTTCTCATGTATCATTCTGAATTTCTCTTTGAGCCTCTTGATCTGCAAAATCACCAAAAAGTATGACATTAAGGAGAATACAGTGTGTTTCCATCTCCAAAAAATGTTCGTGAGTGTAAAGAATCAAATCACCCAAAAGCTTAAGCTGTTGGATGAGGCTATATTAATGGTTTTATATATCTCAACACGCCCCCTCACAGGAGAGCCCACTGGGCTTGAAAGATGGACAATGCACAGGCCCACCTACCTGTGCGAAGAAAAAAATTTCACTTGAAAGAAAGTGCAGGGCGGTGAGGATCGAACCCGGGACACAAGACTCTGATACCATGTAAAGAACCAAATCAACCCAAAAGCTTAAGCTATTGGGTGAAGCTATATTAATGGTTTTATATATCTCAACAGTGAGAAAAACCATGTCATATGAATTATCAAATACCCTTTTCAGCTCAATTTCTGTATCTCTCTTCTGCTGCCCCAATGAGTGCTGCAGATTGGTTATGTCAAAAACATTATCCAGGTCATCTTCGACAGCAGATTCTAGGTCTTCCCGAAGAAGTGCAGGCAACTTGTCCACAATGGGCATCAAGAGGAAACAGTTGAACTGCAAAATATTAGGTATAAGCAGTGCATAAAAGTTAGAAGAAAAACAAATGGGGTGAGAATTCTAAATTGATATGGCTTTATCATAATAACCCCAAATTAATGCATTATCATTGCTTTGACATATTGTCTTGGATTATTGTGGTTGTAACCTGAACAACAAATTAGAAAGAATGAAAAGAAAAATACATGTATGGTATATGTTAACTAGCTAATAATAACCCTTTAGAAGGGCTAGCTAAACTTGCAAGTTGCAACCTTGTGCTGCAGGCTGTTTTGCATGTGGTGTACATGAAACTTTTAGCATATAGCACTCATCCTTTGAGAAATTATAATATTCTGGTTTTAAATTGGAAGAAAAAGAATCAAGTTTTTTACAATATCTGATATTTTTACACAATTTGTTCCCTCATGGATTTTTGAATTATTGGAAGAAGCAACAGAAACAATAAAGAATCATTAAATATTTTTCATTATCACAGAACATGAGAAATTTACTATGGCTCGAATTATGGAGAGCTATACTTTTCTCTTGTATTATTGTCATATCGTAAAAGAGGAAGGGACCTCTTTGCCAAAAAACATTTCAACGTAGTCAGAGAAAATTTCAACAAATATTTATGTTGTATATGTACTAAAACCCAAACAATCAACCGTTATTTCAATGCTCACTGTGGCAGACTTTTACTTTAAGCAGGAAAGGAGGAAATTCACAGACCATACATATCAAGAAGCATAAATGAACAAGAAATATATCAAACCTTTAATTCTGTGGAAACCAAGAAATATTCTCTTATGCCATGAAATATCTGTTGTACCAAACCATAAACAATTCTTTCAGATGAGGGTGCAAGCCTACGATTCCAAAGTGTACTATCCAGAAGGTCTGCAAGCTTCGTTTCTGTTGTCTGAATGGATGTGCTAGAATCAGTGCCAGAGGCCACATGACTTAGCTTTACATCTGGTTGTGGCTTTGTGTCTTCTTTCTCATGTGCACTTGTTTGTGATAGAATGATGGGACTATTGCAAACATTGGAGTGTTCTGTTCCACCGAATGAATCTAAGAACTGGCGTAACCCAGCCCGACTCTACAAAGTTGACAGTGACACCACAAGCAGATATAAAATGAGCCAGGTAAAATTAGCAAATAATATTTTACTCATTGGTTCTTACAGTTTAAGTGGACAATCATTCAAGCCAAGCATGAATTCAAATTAGGAAGTGAGATCATTTAAAATGCAGCATGCCAAAACATCTATCTCTGTAAATGCCCCTCAAATCAGGTATACCTTATTGTGTAGAGACCATGAGACATATCGTGTGGTGCTCACCAAGTCCTCCATACATCTACAGCAAGGCAGCATGAGAAGATAGCATTTAGAAAACAGTATTTTTTTTTAAAAAAAAAACAGGAATTCTAATATTTAACAGGCATCATGTATTAAAAAAGAATAAGAATAAATTATGGATGAGAGAAGGTGAAGATGAAACATACGATTCCCTATTGCAAAGTTTAGTTTAATGATATTATCACAACATCACATTCCGTACTAAAATATATTCATTTTAAAAAAAATCAAGGGAAAAAATGCACACTAATACCAAAAAAAGAACAACCATGAAAAAATGAAGAGAAAAACATAATATAAAATAAATTGGAGGGCTCTTGTTATTTTTATTTAATATAATATAACATAATAGATATAATAGTAGTTAGTAAAAACTGGAGGGCAGTCAATACCTGACGTTCTCTATTATAAATATAATATAATATATAAAGCCATTAATCTATCTTCACCTAACGGTTTAAACTTTTGGGAGAGTTGGTTGCGTGACGTGGTATCAGAGCCTCTGTGACCAAGTGGTCCAAAATCTAATCCTTGCCTCCCCCATTTACCTAATAATCTTCTAATGAATATTGTGGAATTTCTTAGCAAAGGTACGTGAGCCTGTACATTGTTCACCCTTCAAGTTCTACACTCTTATGTGAGGAGGTTTATTAGAAATATAATATAATATAATATATAAAACCATTCATCTGTCTTTATCTAGCAGCTTAAACTTTTAGGACAATTGGTTGCTTGACATTCTCTTATAAAAGCTAAACCTTTATCTAGCAGCTTAAACTTTTAGGACAATTGGTTGCTTGACATTCTCTTATAAAAGCTAAACCATGCATATCTTATTCCTATTCCAGTTAAACTTGATTCTATAAAATTGATATACAAAGAAGGAACTGTTAACACATTTTCAAGCTCTACTCTTCACTCACAAGTCACAACTATGAATGTCATAAAACCTTGATTGTTAGAGTCAAATCTTATTAATGTTTCCTTAACCATTGATGAGAGCATGCTGTCAATATTTACACACATGTTTTTGCTACATTTGGTGTAGCTTTGCATAACAAATTGTAAATTAAACCATCACCCCCCTTCAAAAAAAAAATGATAAAAATAAAATAAAATATACTACAGGACAAATTATGCCAACCTCTCGAAGTTTTGATCTTTGATGAAATTACATTAACACCCAATGGGAGTAGTTCAGTTGGTGACATAGGCTGAGTAAAGTGGGGAGAGAACCTGGGTTCGATTCCCACCGAATACATTTTGGGGAGAAGCGAGTAGCTTTAACTGTGATTAAGCCCCGACTCGGAATAGTCTCATAGCTGGCTCAAAGAGTTGAAGCTTATGGGGATACCCGAAGGGCCGACTCGCCTCAAAGAGGTAATTAAGGTTGGTATACCAAAAAAAAAAAATTACATTTACTGCCCTCCAGTTTCAAAAATTACTAGCCTCCATTGAATTTTCACTAAATACTCCCTCATATTTTTATTTTCCAGACATACACCCCTTCCATACAAGTGAAAAATACACATAAAAGGAGCAACTATAATTTCCAAAAATAAAGGGGAGCGTAGTGTAATTTGATCACATCTTGGAAGGTTAATGTAATTTGCTCAAAACTAAAATGAAGCTCACGATGTTTTGTTTAGTTTTTCTTTTTTTATTTTGAAACTAAAAAAAAATGGCAACTCATGATTTCATTTGACATATGGAACCAAACTTATAGCAATTGGGGACAAGTGGTGGTTAACTTTTCACGGCATGATTTTTCAGTGGATTCTGCAAAGTTGTTGAAGGCAGAGGCAACACGCCTAAGGAACACCTCGTGGCCACTTAGATACTCGCTATCTTTCTGTCAGAAACAAAATGAATAGATAAAATAAGTTTGGGAAAATCACAAACTAATAATTGCATGAAACTGTGTAGAAAATTAGAATTCAAACATGTTTCCGTTTTTATTTCCTATTAATTAGGATTGATTATGATTGATTAGGATTGATTATGATTGATTAGGATTAATTGTGATTGATTAGAATTGATTGTGATTAGGATTGTGATAGGATTGATTAGTCATCGCTTAGTCATTCTTAGCGATTCTTTCTTGTATAAATACTCACTCATGTAATTTATTCAAAATCAATATACAAAAACTTCTTTTCAATATGGTATCAGAGCGGGTTCGTTCCTACCCTAATTCAAATCTGAAATAACCATCCAAACACTTCCATCACCGTCAAACACCTCCTAAACACCGCCTTGAATCTGTCCAACACAGAAACCTAGTTTACTGACCTCCGATCAAAAAAGTGAGGTGACCATTCGACTCAGAAGGATCCGACGAGTCGACCGCCGCTGGACCCATCGCCGTCAGCCGCTGCACGCGCCACCACGCGCCGCCTTCCAGACGTTTTTTTTCCGTCGCGACTTGCACAGACCTTCTCGCCGGCTTCTCCCCTTCCTGTTCCAGAGGTCAGATCAAAAGTTTACAAAACTTGATTTTTCATCAACGGTCAACCCTTCTCTTTTTATTCATGGCTTCCTCAAAACACTCTTTTTATTACCACGAGCAACCTCCTAAGGCCACTAGTCATGTGGTCCAGCAAGGTACAACTTTCCATGTTGATAGTCAAAATCATTGGATCCTTGATTCTGGAGCCTCTGATCATATGACAGGTAATCTTGGCTTGTTTTGTTCATACACTCCATATTCTGAACCTTCTCGGGTCAAGATCGCCGATGGCAGTTTTTCCCAGATTGCGGGACACGGAACCATTAAACTTTCTGAGCTGATTACTTTGACATCAGTTCTTTATGTTCCTTCTCTGACTTGTAATCTCATTTCCATTAGCAAGCTCACCTCTGAGTTGCATTGCTTTGCTAAATTCTTTCCACATGGTTGTGTTTTTCAGGAACAGGACTCGGAGAGGATGATTGGCAGTGCTAGAGAGGATGGTGGACTTTACTACTTTGAGGAGGATGTGACTCATGAAGCTGTTTTCGTAGAAAAAAACTCTATGTTTCCTTTTGATTCATGTAATGATGTTATGCTGTGGCATCGTAGGCTAGGCCATCCAAATTTTATTTATCTTCAGAAGTTGTTGCCAAACTTATTTATTAATAAAAGTCCAAGTTTGTTTTCTTGTGATATTTGTCAACTTGCCAAGCATACTCGTGCTCATTATCCTTCTAAAGTTCACCATGACTCTTCCCCATTTTCCTTAATTCATAGCGACATATGGGGTCCAGCCCGTGTTAAAAATATTTCAGGTACTCGATGGTTCATTACCTTCATTGATGACCATTCTCGAGTTTGTTGGGTGTATCTTCTAAAGGATAAGTCTGATGCTGCATCCGTGTTTAAAAAATTTCATGCCATGGTTCAAACCCAATTCCAAGTTGCTATACAAATTCTTCGTACAGATAATGGCAAAGAGTATTTTAACTCTATTCTTGGAGAATATCTTTCCCAACATGGCATCCTTCACCAAAGCTCGTGTCCTGACACACCCCAACAAAACGGAGTTGCGGAAAGAAAAAACCGACATCTCCTTGAAGTTGCTCGGGCTCTTATGTTTACCACGAGTGTTCCTAAATATCTTTGGGGAGAGGCAGTTCTCACTGCCTCGTATCTGATAAATCGAATGCCATCTCGCATTCTGAAATTTCAGTCTCCTCTTTCTAGTCTTGTTCGTATCTTCCCGTCCTTCCGAGGTGTCTCCTCCTTACCTCTCAAGTTATTTGGTTGTGTTGTATTTGTCCATATTCCCTCCCATCAACGGTCTAAGCTTGATCCTAAGTCTCTCCAGTGTGTCTTTATTGGTTATTCTCCTACTCAACGTGGCTATAAGTGTTATTCACCCTCTCTTCGTAAGGTCTTTGTCTCTATGGATGTCACTTTTTCTGAGAATGACCCTTTCTTTCCCTCGACTTCTCTTCAGGGGGAGTCTATAGGAGTAGATGAAGATCAGTCATGGGAACCTATTAATGCCACAGTATTACCTCTACTTTTGGAAACATGGGGAGCTACAGAATCCTCACCATCAGGAGCCTCCTCAACATGGGGACAAGTTTATAGCAGGCGAAAGCCTCCTCAAAGTGTGAATAACCCAGAGCCTCTACACTGCCAGGATTCTGAACCATGTTCTAGTTCCAGCACCCCAATACTTGAGTGTCATGGTGAAAATGATCTACACTTGCCCATTGCTCTTAGAAAAGGTACTCGATCTTGTACTACTCATCCTATTTCTAATCATATTTCATATGGAAAGTTGTCCCCAGGGTTTCGTGCTTTCAATACTATGTTGGATAGTACAAAGATACCGAGAAATATACATGAGGCTCTCAATGATAAAAAATGGAGGGATGCTGTCTTTGAAGAAATGAATGCTTTAGAAAGAAATGGAACTTGGGAGATAGTGACCCTACCCAAAGGAAAAAAGGCAGTAGGATGCAAATGGGTGTTTACAATAAAATTCAATGCAGATAATAGCATCAACAGATACAAGGCAAGATTGGTTGCAAAGGGTTTCACTCAGACTCATGGGATAGATTATCATGAGACTTTTGCTCCGGTTGCTAAAGTCAATACCATCCGAGTTCTCTTATCTCTTGCTGCCAATCTAGATTGGCCTCTGCAACAGTTAGATGTGAAGAATGCATTCCTAAATGGTGACTTACATGAAGAAGTCTATATGGATCCTCCACCTGGTTTTGAAAGGGGAAATGAATCAGTGTGTAAACTAAAAAAGTCTCTATATGGATTGAAACAGTCTCCCAGAGAATGGTTCGACAAATTCACACAAGCAGTCAAAAGAAGAGGCTTCATTCAAGCACAGACTGATCATACTCTCTTCCACAAACACTCTAAGGATGGTAAAATTGCTATTCTTATTGTATATGTAGATGATATAATTCTTACAGGTGATGATATTGAGGAATTGAACACCTTGAAGAAATTTCTAGCAGCTCAATTTGAACTCAAAGACCTTGGCACTCTCAAATATTTCCTTGGTATGGAAGTTGCTAGGAGCAAAACAGGCATCACTCTAACACAAAAGAAATATGTTCTAGATCTTTTGTTGGAAACAGGAATGTCAGGGTGTAAACCTGCTGAGACACCTGTGGAACCTAATACCAAGTTAGGTATTGAAGATGGGAATGAGGTGGATAAAGAACAATATCAGCGATTGGTTGGTAAACTAATCTACTTATCTCATACGCGTCCTGACATTGCCTTTGCGGTGAGTATGATTAGTCAATTCATGCACTCACCCAAGGAGAAGCATCTTAGTGCAGTCTATAGGGTGCTTAGATACCTCAAGAATACTCCAGGAAGAGGATTATTCTTTAAAAAGGGGTATAAAAGGACAATTGAAATCTACACTGATGCAGATTGGGCAGGCTCATCAGTAGACAGAAGATCTACCTCAGGCTATTGCACCTATGTGTGGGGAAATCTTGTTACTTGGAGAAGCAAAAAGCAAACAGTGGTTGCAAGAAGTAGTGCTGAAGCAGAATTTCGAGCTTTAGCTCATGGAGTTTGTGAAGGAATCTGGTTAAGAAGACTTCTTCAAGAGTTGAAGATTTCATATTCCCTACCAATAAAACTATATTGTGACAACAAGGCAGCTGTTAGCATTGCTCAAAATCCTGTGCATCATGATCGAACAAAGCACGTGGAAGTTGATCGTCACTTCATCAAAGAAAAATTAGATGATGGAAGTGTGCATTTGATATATGTTCCAACCAAAGAGCAAACGGCAGATGTCCTTACCAAGGGCCTACACCGTCCAGCATTCGAAGACTTGATTGGCAAGTTGGGAATGATCAATATTTACCTCCCAACTTGAGGGGGAGTGTAGAAAATTAGAATTCAAACATGTTTCCGTTTTTATTTCCTATTAATTAGGATTGATTATGATTGATTAGGATTGATTATGATTGATTAGGATTAATTGTGATTGATTAGAATTGATTGTGATTAGGATTGTGATATGATTGATTAGTCATCGCTTAGTCATTCTTAGCGATTCTTTCTTGTATAAATACTCACTCATGTAATTTATTCAAAATCAATATACAAAAACTTCTTTTCAATAAACTGTTACGAAATTTCCAACGATAAACATAAACAATTGATCCATAAAAAATGTCAAGAACCAACAATCCCAAAAGCTTAAGCTATTTGGTGAAGACTCAAATGGTTTTATATCTTACACACCCTATCATACAAGAGTCCTTTGAACTTGAAACTGTTAAGAGTGTTAGTGTTAATAGTGTAGAAGTCCCACATTGAGTGTGTCTCTTTGTATTCTTCAATTGGTTTGCTATATAATAGCACCAATATTGTGTAGTTTAATACAACAAGGATTACGATCATTTCCTCTTGTATTTATGATATTCAACATGGTATCTAGAGCCTAACAAAAGGAATCTTAATCCATTTAACTTAGTTCTATTTTCCATAATTTCAATATGGTTATAGAGAGATATCACCCTCCTTGAGGGATTCCCGTTGCTATTTCTTTTTCGGGTTTTTCTTAGTATGCTCTGTGACTGCAGCTTAGACTGATCTGTCACATCAGAAAAGAATGATCCTTGGGAAGTTGTTGGGTTGACCACCGTTGTCGTTGACCGACCACCGTTGACCGCGTCGTCCACCGTTGACAGCCGTCTCTGGCGACTTTTCCGATGACTTCCGGCGACTTTTTCGGCGATCCACCACCGTCTCCGACGACTTTTCCGATTCCGCGAAGCTTTGTTTTTCTTTAATTTTCTTTCTTCCCAAGATGGAGTATTTATACTATTCATCATCCATCTTGAGGGGGAGCACTGTCCAAGTTGCTGATGTTGTCTCCGCTGATGTTAATTCCGACACCGAAGTTCCTCTTGAGGGGGAGCACTGTCCATGTTGCTGATGGTCATTCCAGCATAATTGTCTTTGCCGATGATAATTCCGGCACTGTCTAGAAGTTCCTCTTGAGGGGGAGCACTGTCCATGTTGCTGATGGTCATTCCAGCACAATTGTCTTTGTCGATGATAATTCCGGCACTGTCTAGAAGTTTCTCTTGAGGGGGAGCACCGTCCATGTTGCTGATGGTCATTCCAGCACAATTGTCTTTGCCGATGATCATTCCGGAATCTTCTATGTTAATGTTCATTTCGACGCCATTTTTAGCACATTGTTGATTTTTGGTTTCTCATTTAGGAGATTTATTTTGATGTTATGTTACTTGGTCTTTCTTGTAATAAGCTTGTAGCATAGTCAAGGGTAAACCACGGCTGCTCACCAACTGTTAAATGAAATGTCTGAGAGGGATCTTGATGTTGATGTCCTGGTTAGCTCAGTTGTCTTTGCCGATGATAATTCTGGCACCATCCATGCTCTGATGTCCATTCCAGCACTGTCTCTTTATCAGCTCTTCACACTGATGGTCATTCCAGTTGATTTGTTGTACTTAGTCATTTCATTTCGTTGATGTAGCATTGTTGTTTTTGGTTCCTAATGGGAGTATTATTTATGTATCAAGCTTGTAGCATATGATCTATATGCTACAGCTTGAGGGGGAGTGTTAAGAGTGTTAGTGTTAATAGTGTAGAAGTCCCACATTGAGTGTGTCTCTTTGTATTCTTCAATTGGTTTGCTATATAATAGCACCAATGTTGTGTAGTTTAATACAACAAAGATTACTATCATTTCCTCTTGTATTTATGATATTCAACAGAAACATAAACTTTGCACAGGCTCACCCGATCTTGTGCTCAAATTCAATTTTTATTTACAAGAATAGGGGTGGTCAGGATCGACCTTTAAGATCACTTAGCCATATTGGCTCTTGATAACATGTCAAAACCAACTATCCCAAAAGCTTAAGATGCTAGATGAAGACTCAGAAATAATTTTATATCTTAAAAAAATACAAAGAGAATACCTGAAGAAGATAAACAGAGATTGGAAGCAATCGCTTAAGTATATGCAACAGTCTAGACCCCAACTGTGCCAAGAACAGAGAATTAAAAATTAGTCAGGGAACCAAATCATCAAAGGTTAATAAGTGAAACTTTTGAGACATGAATTTTGATAAATCAAGAGCCTTATTTTCTGAATAAAGAATTGTATAATAAAATTTACTTTTTGAACAAATGTTCACCAAAAACTTCATAATGCTTATTTATGGCAAATGAACCTTCTATCTTGCCAAATAAATGTGCACAACAGACCGTGCATCAGAAACTGATAATTCTTGACTGCTCAAGTATTTAAAATGGAACAGATTAGTTCTGTTATTTCAATAAAAACTGCAGAGAATTCTCATAATCTAGCCTAGTGAAATTCTAAGGAGAATTACTACAGCAGTAAAATGAAAAGAAGGCCATAATATAGTATTCATCCAACCTAAAAGTTAAAGCATTGCATGGAACGTGCAATCTTACTATCCATTGAATTAGGATTATATTTCTTTTTTTAAATTGAGATTACTAAATTCTTCATTGTGGGATACTCGTTCTAACAGGATTAAGGTTGTTTGAGTCAATTGAATAAAGCTTATTATTGCCTTAGCTCAAGCGGCACCAAGTCTCTTTGGGGGCTACTTGATTTCTAGTTCAAATCCCATTGAGGCTATTTACACACATTACATCTTAGATCAAACTATGAATATTTTCCATAAATTATTCTTGGTTTATCCCTTGTTTAGATCACATGAACTGTGACTGAGTGGACAGAAGTAATATCATTGAAATAAATCCAAATCATAGTATAAGTTGACATGTATTCCTAATGAATGAAAAGAAATAAAGAAAGCGAAGAATCTGAAAGGAATATATTCGCTTTTATAGATTTAATCACCTGGTGAAGAAAAGGTTCAAATGTGTCACGAGCCTTTGCAACAGCAATTACACAAGCAGTCCTGGTTGTTCAAAATAAAAACTATTTTAATCTTTAACTACTAGCAGTATTACAAGAATGAATAAGTAAAACACGCAGTTACCTAGAGTAGTTTGTTCCATCATGAATGTCTTCAACTCCACAAGCATTTACAATTTCTTCCCGAGTAATTGGGGGACACTTGATTCCTCCAACCACAAAACGAAATTCAGCCATTGCCCGATGATATTGTGCACCACCATAGAGTCGCATCCCAGCATTCTACATAAAAAGGTATGCCAGCCTGTCAGAGGTTTGCTTAACAAAATTCTGAAAATACTTCTGAAAAAGCTTGCACCTACCACACAAATATAAAACTCACATGAAAGTGGTGTAATTAACAAGCATAAGTCAAATGAAATCCTCAGCCAAAATAAAAAAATGGAAATTATATTCTTTTTAATAAGAAGGGAAAATAGTCAAATAGAATTATTAGGCGGTCTGTTGTCTTCTCCAATGAAAAAAAGCAGGAGGACAGAAATACAGAAAAAAGCAAGCCCAAAACAGTTGTAGAACTTACAGGTATTAGCTTGTGAGGGAACTGAACACCATCAGCACCAACAAATGCACCTCCATTTATTCGCTCATCTTGTAGTGTTTCACCTGAAACAAAACAAAATAAAAATGTCAAGGAATTCAACCATGACCACATGCCAAGGGAAAGGAGATATCCAAAGATAGCAAGCTTGCTTATCAAATATTGAGCATTATCTACCGTTCGAAGGGCTTATCCATAAAAGAGAGCCTAGGTGATTTACCAAACTTATCAGGAGGCGCAACAACTGTCCCTTTAAGCAGTAATGACAACTGAACAATAGAAAATATGTGAGTCGGACGAAAATATAGAAGAATGCATATCTTCATGGTTCAAGCACTATGAAATCTAACAGCTGAAAAAATAAAAAAAGAAAGCATCCATACGCAAGTCCAGATAGAATATTGGACAGAAATAAATTTACTCCACAATCAAGCAAGATCAGATAGTCAGAAGAAAATTGGATTTATGACATGGAAACCTTGGTTAAGAACATATCATGGAAGGTTCTTCCTTTCTCCTTCAGTTTGGCTTCATCCAATGTGCTGTATATAATTTGAAGAAAGAATAAAACAAGTGATGAAAGGGAGATAGATACAGATAACAGTAAAATCAAAAAATAAAATCATCATCGCTGCCCCTCTCTATGCAGGTCATGTACAACAAAGATACTTTTAACTTTAATGCACACCTCAATTCTTGATTTATATCACTCAATTTCCTTGTCACACTCCGGTACTCCTTCTCAAGAAGTGGAATGATCAATGGCACGTTACTTATATACCTAGCAGGATCATTCTTAAGGATTCAGCCATAAAATATAAAAAAATTAAGGATTTATTAAGCATTGTCCAGAAACCACACAAATAAAAACAAATTACGACATAGAAAAACCTCTGTTGTAGCATTTCTTCCAAGAATAACCTAAGTTTGCTCACACCTATCCTACTTCTTTCTTGCTTTGACAATGACCTGCCCAACTTCTCCTCCAAAGATGCAACATCTTCTATCTCTCTGGAGAATACTGCCTGCATCCATATGTACAACAAAATAGATCAAGAAAAATAAAATTCGGGTATTTCATGTTCCACAAATCAAAAGAAACAGCTCCTCAAAGATAGCTTTCAGTACACCAAACATTTAACCAGTAAAGAAATTATGAATCCCTCCAAGGGCACCATAAACAAATAAAGAATGAAAACTAAAGGACTGTTTGATTTAAGGAACTGTTTTTTGTTCCATTCTCTTGTCTCACTAATAATTACAAAAATGCCACCCTGTTTTCACTTTGTTTAGGAAACAAAGTGAAAACAGGGTGGCATTTTTGTAATTATTATTGAAAACAGAAAACGAAAACAAAAAAAAACATTTCCTTAAACCAAGCAAGCCATAAGACAAATAGTCTTAAGTGTAAGCAGGCCATAAGACAAATAGTCTTAAGTGTTATTTTGTTTATTTATTATATCTTTTTTATTTGCAGAGGATGTTATCTGTGATGTACTGATGTCAATTACTGATTTGTAGTCCCACTTAACGGTCATCCCTCTGCAGTGAGATTCGCTGGTGACCAGGAGCTAGTTGATCTTAGCAATAGGCCCCCAATTAGGAAAGTATACGTAAGAAGAATTAAAGATAGGCCAAAGTGCCAAGTGGGCCAGCCTCTTTAGTTTGGCATTGTTAGTTAAAGTTGTAAGAGTTAGTTAGCCCTCTAAATGTAGTTGCAGAGTATAATATAAATATAGGGAGAGAATGTAAGTGAAGGCAGGCAGATGGTGACTGTCTTAGAGGGAGAGTCCAGGCTCCTGAATTCCTAGGGATGTTTTCTTTTATACACCATTCTTACTCTTCTAATCTTCGGATACCCCCTGATCCAGAGTCAGAGGAGGATACTCAATAAAATTCTCACATTTTCTTTCTATTATTTCTTAATTTCTAATCCAGTTCTATCAGTTGAGTGAGTAGCTTCCTTAAAGGGATGGGGGAAAAATCCTTGCAGGTATTCTCTACGTGGGTCTTTTATCTGCCCTTCTAGGATTCCAGGCATGCCACCAGCACACGGACCAACAATCTTGGAGTAACCTATCCTAACTACCAACCATAAAATATAATGATTCATAGAAGAAAAGAAAACAAGGCAATCTATAAATAACTATAATGTACAAATTGCACGTCTAATTACTTTGCTAGTCTATCTTTGCCGTTTACGTTATCTGATATTTTAATTTTAGCCTTCACATAATGTACTAGAGGCATTTAAAATAATGTAAAAAGTGTGAAAATAAACCAATAAATAAAAGAAAATGCACAACATACTTGCCAACCAGAATATTAAAAAAAAAAAAAACTCCTTATTATATCCCGAGGGTGAGGTGATGACAATTCTTATACGCAATGTTACCCTTGCATATTAGAAAACAAGAATATTAAATTAAAAAAAAAAAAAAAACGTAAAGACTACAAAGAGCATATGAAATCTAACAGTCATAACGAAGGCCCCAAAAAGATTCCTAGGTAAACTACCTAAGTGTCAAGTTTTCAACCTGAAATGAAAAGGAGAGACAAGACAACTAATGAATTACTATGAAGGATTAACCTGTTTGAACTCATCATTGGACCTGTAGAGATAATCACATCCAGAGCCAACTCTTCCAGAAGGCACAGACGTAAAGAAAGGAGAGTCTCCCAGAATGCAGCCATCAAGTGTACACGCAGGCGGCGAAAGGAAAACTTCAACATCGGACGGACGTGCAAATTGAGGTATCCTTGTATCTAGCTTGGTTGACACAATCACAGTCCTTGACAACTCAGGATCAATCTACAAATAAAAAAAAAACAAAAACTTCTCGAAGCCTTAGCATATTTCCCTCCAAGTTCCAGTAATATAATCTAGAAACTTCATGCAAATAAATAACATTACACATTCATAAATGTTATAAAGGAAAATACAACGGAGTAATTGCATGATACTTACCTGCATTACAACGCGCCTCGTAGTTGCATTACTCCAGTCACTGCAATCTTCAAGGCACAATATAATAAACTCCTTGTGTTGCATTTTCGCACGCACTAGAGACTCCACAGCACGTGCCTGGGCCTGTGAATCAATGCACGAGGCTACAAAGTTCAGCTTAATCAACAAAAACAAAAAAGGAAAATGAATCAAGTTAGAAGAAATTGGAAAGTAGACCTGTAATGCCCTATTTTTGCGACCAGGAGCAGGAGCAATGAGACCAGGAGTGTCTATGATTGTAAGATTGGGGCAATACTTGTACTCCACTTTGATTATAATTTCCTTAGCCGAGAACTGAGATGAAGAATCATGCTCCAACCTCACGTTTTCAGCTTCAATATATGCCTATTATAACAATTTATCAGTTAGCAGAACGAAGGTTTGAGTATAAACAAGAAAAAATAAAAAAATAAAAAGGAAAATGTGAATTTGAATGTAATGGACCTGAATTTGGGAAAGGGACTTTTGGTGAGATAGAGAAGGGTCGGTGTCAGAGACGAGATAACAGGAAGGGGACTCGCATTGTGGATCGTACTTCATGTGGAGGGTTATAGGGCGGCGCGTCTTGGTGCCGCCGCCGACGTGGTTGAATTGGAAGCCCATGAGTGCCTCGACGAGGGCGCTCTTGCCGTCGGTCTGGTGGCCAACTACCAACACGGCGGGGGCGTCGAAGGGAGTGTGCAAGTCCTGAGCGAGCGCGTGAAGTTCATTGTAGGCTTCGTAGAGATTCCACTCACACTTGTTGTCATCCTCACTTCCTCCCTCCATTTTGCAATTTCAGATAAGGACTTACTCACTCACCACTCCACTCTCTCTGCTCCTTTCCTTTCCCGGTTTGTCTTTATAAACTGTTTTTTTCTTTTTTTTACTATGGTTAATATTGTATTACATGCGTTAACGGGCGTTTCGAGGGGTTTTGACGTAAGAAATGCAAATTTTAAAAAAATCTACCAAACATAGGAAGACGCGTTTCAGGCGGTTACGTATTTAGTAGCTTATGTAACACATGCGCGTTTTTGACAAATTGAACATGCATACGCGTTTCTGACTATGACGCGACTATGCCACGGAATGTGTACCTGAATATAACGTATCTTAGTATTGTGCTCAGATTTGTCAAAAACACGTAGCTGGTACGGCCGTGTTTAGATTTGTAAGAAACGCGCATGTGTCAGGTGCGCGAATAAACGCGTAACCACCTGAAATGCGTCTTCCTGTATTAGTCCGGTAAAACGTTTGCTCAATGAACTAAATATGTGGATTTTTTTGAAATTTGCATTTTTTTAGTCAAAAATCCGCCTTTCGACGATAAATTTTTTGGTGATCAGGATTCTTGATTTTTTGGAATAGTGTGGGAAAATCATTTTTTTCGAGAATGTTATGCAAAAAAAATTTAGTAGGTTAAAATATTACTGAAATTTTCTCTTCAAAAAAGTTTAATTTTTTTTCAATACCTGAGATTTCAAGTGTTATGGCATTTTGGAAAAAAAAATACACATAAAATAAAATTACGGAAAAATAAGATTTTCAGAAGAAAAAAATTCAAAAACCTTATATCAAACGTAAATAAATAAGATTATCAATATCACTTTGGTATGAATCTCAAAAACTCTCCCTACTAAACATTCCTAAAAATTATTAAAAGTAGAAAAAGTAAATTCAATTTCCTTCCAATGTAGACTACAGGGCATATGCGTTTTTTTTATATTACCCATTGAATTATATATTATTGAATTAGTGCATGTTTGGATGGATTTTTATTCCTAAAAAAATTATTCTTTTTAAATAAAAGTTCTTTTGATAATTTTTAGATGTTTGGATAACAAATTTTTTAAAAAATAAAATTTAAAATAAAAGTTAAAATGCTATTTTTTGTTAGACAATAGTTAGTTGCTTTTGAAAAAAACAGAAATTAATAGATAATATAATATATTTTTGGAAAAAAGATAATATAAAATTTTAAAATACAATTTTAACCGCATCCTATCATATGTATCTTATCTCTCTTTATCCTACGATCATGTTATTTTATCACTCCTTTATTGTAATTTTATATATAAAAAGTGTTTTTTTTTTATTTTAACATCTAAACAACTTTTCTATGTAAAAGTGATTTTTAGATCATACATCCAAACATAAAATAACTTTATCTTTTAAAAAAAATTCTTTTAAAAATAGCAATGCATAAAAATTCATTTTTTTTAAAAGTTCATCCAAACGGACCATTTGTTCAATTCGAATCAAATATATTTAATGTAGGTACATTTTGAGAATCGAACTCAACTCAAGACAACTGATTAAATTAAAATAATCCCTTATCAGTTAATTCACGTGTTTGATGGTTATGCACTTTTTTTATTTTTTGCAAATATATTAGCAATTAATCAAAAAAAAAAAAACAACTCATGAAGCATTAGCTGAAGAAAAAGAAAAATAAGTTGGAATTAACAATGATGGTATTTTAATCCTGATAACAAAAAATAACAATTATAATTCGTCATGTATCCAAAATATAAATAGCTTGATAAAAGTAGAAAGATTCTTATAAAGGCTAGCTCTATCATTAAATTAAAGAGAGATTCTGCTGCGGTCGGTCTATCCACTATGGTTTTGACTTTTGAGAGTATCTTAGGAGGATGTTCAAGAGTGCTTTCCATCAGTGAGGAGGCAATTTACAAATCTTGGGTTCCCTTCACCTTATTGCAAATTTCTTCAAATATCGATAGCCTCCTTTTAGAAGAGGGTGCATAGAGAACCCTGGAAATGTGTGTATCAACTTCTTCCCTTGACGGAGGTTTATCAGAAACATTTGGGAGGACAACATCAATGCCATCATCCAAGGGTGACCAGTCATTGAAAGTGTTGGAATTGACAAGGGAATGATGAGGTTCATGTGAAGCTTGTTCGGATGTTGTGACTTCTTTTCCAGATACAGCTGCTGCATAGGACTTATAACAAAAACAAGAAGAAAAAGTATTTTTACAGTCACTTTAGATAAGGTTGTCTACAGCTACTTTTTTTCACTAAATGTGATCGGTCATACTTTAAAATTGAATTTTCTCTCTCCGTCACGTCTGCCGACAGTGTCTGAGAAAAGAGAAAAAAAGAAACGACTAAAGTGGATAGCTGTAGATAAAAATGGATAGCTGTAGATAACCTTATCTAAAGTGGCTGTAGAAATACTTTATATATATATATATATATATATATATATATATATATATATACCACCTTTAGATTCTTTACCTCGGATTTGCTGTCCATGGTGAAACGACTAGAATGAAGCTCTTTTACGCGTGCAATCTGCAACATACATATTCAACCCATCAAATACCAAATACAAGCCACATGCAGTTTTCATAATTAACATGAAAAGATTAAAACACACTTACAAATTTTGTACGATAAATAGAGTCGACAATGAGTGCTTCAAGCCTCCAACAACAAACCTTTATATAGCCTAGAGAACAAGAAGAAGCAATTAAATAGCGAACCTCAAGCGGTTAAATTTGATTGCATTTTATTTCTTTATGATTACGATTTATTAGGATTTCGAATCTATTTAAGATTGAAAGAGATTTTAGATTCAATTTATTGAGAGTGATATAAAAAGTGCGGATACAAAAAGTTTGTTGGAACTCTAATTTTAAATAGGTCAAAACTTATATCTAATCAAATTAATTTAGTTCGGCTTTTAAATTTAATATTCAAATCAAATTTGGCAATAATATCTAAAAATATATCAAAAATATTATATCATATTAGTTTAAACGTTGGTGGATTCTTTTATCTATAGTCATGCGTCCTATCAACACTGCACTCTCCGGTATGTATCGAAAATCCATATTTAAATCAAACCAAATCAATTTCAAATCTTTTGATTGTATGACAAAAAGTTAGAATATCAAACTAGTAGTTTTTAAAATTTAAGGAATAATAAAATCTTGTCTATAAGTATTAATACATGATAATAATAAAGGGGACGATGTTTACTGGAGAAAAAAAAGACCATTATATTGCCTACCTATTTAATTTGTCTACCTTTAATATATTTCTCTCTCTATTATTTTCCTCAATAAATTACATCTCTTGTTTTCTCTTTTTCAACCGTTGATTTAAATATAATTTACCGGTAATGAAAAGGAAGAAGATAGAAAGATTATATAGGTAGTCTATATAATCATCCCCAACTATAAATATCATTATTTCCACTAAAAATAAATTATCATTATTCCAAGACATATCAAGAAGCGAGAACTTTGACTATTTTAATATAAAATCAACTTTTCAAAGGGTTATTGAAAAAATAATTAAAATTTTGCTTTTATTACTTGTCTGTTTGTGCAAATATTATTTCGTTAAAAAATAAATTATGAAAAGTTTATATTTTGTATAGAATATTTTAAGAAAGTATTAAATATTTATTTGTTAAAATAATTTTGATTACATTGCATCCAATAAAAAAAATTATTATTTTTGAAATTTAGATGACCGGGCCTTTTTTTTTTGTGGTTTTGACCTTATGAACTTTTTGACCCTAATCGGTTAATGAGGTGGGCTAAATTTTGACAGTTGTATTATGTGCTTCTTCTTTTTTTTTCATTATATCTCCATAATATTATTATAACATCTCTAAATTATGGATATATATTATAAAGAAGATTTGGACGTTAGTTTTATAGAATACCATTATTTTGAAATATTAAGTACAAATCATTAAACTCAAGACCCATTAACCCATCAACTAAACCCAAGAAAAAATTTAGTCATATCTCATCAACAAAATTTCATCTTTGTAGAGCTTCATATCTCATTGTCAAAAAAAAAAATATTATCTTTTATTGATGCTTTTGTATTTCAAAAAAAAATAATTACAAAGTCAATATACAACAGATGTTATTTGCACAATAATCATGAAATAAATTATAGGATTTTTAAAAAAATGAAAATTGATCCAACCCAAACCGAAAAAAATTGGATTGGATCGGATTAGATTTGAAAAAAAATCCAAACTGAATGGATGATTACATGATCAAACCGAAGGGATTGGAACAGATGATTTTTGCTTCCGAAACCGATCTAATCAATAACGTGAACACCCCTAATATGATCCATCAAGTTATGACAAATGAAGAGGTTTGTTGTAAATATAATAGAAAGAATTATGCAAATAGTTTAGATTGGTTCTCTTAATTGTGGGGAAAATGAAATTTCCACAACGACGGTAAATCCCCCTGATATTATTCGAGAATCTAAATACTTGTTATATGCCAAAAATTTATTTTTGTTAAAATCATTAGCAGAAAGAATCAAAGGATTCTGTTGATACATTCGAGTAATTAAACGTTTTACAATTAGTAAATTGGACGACCATACTTGTTCAATTTATCTCTTTCAACTTGGATACCGTGAGGCGGACCTTGGAACGTTTTAATATAAGAATTAGGTATTCGCAAATCCTCCAGACGTAAAGCGCGCGTTATTATTAAGATAGATATGTTTCCTATTTGTTTCCTTATATTTAGCTCTATTTTAGGTAAATAATTATTGATATAGGTCTAGATAATATAATAAATTCTATACTCTGATAATGAGAAATAATATTCAAAATATCTACCAAGTTTTTAAGTAGGTCTGAGGTGGAACAAAGTGCAGACATATAAAACATAGGGGTATCTTGCTGGTTTAAAAAAAAGCTCATAGTTGATAGTTCTCATGTGAATTTTTAATATAAGTAATCTATTTATATTTTTTAAATATGTGAACAGTATATAAACTTTGTTAAACTCGATTAAACCAA